CCCGGCCCCCAGGCGCCCGCCGGCGAGCCCCAACCCCGGGCCTGGCTCCAGAGTGGGGCCCCGGTGACGCCAATCCAGGCGACGTGAACCTCTTTGTTGTGTTTTTCTTCATCAAAAGGGGGGGGGTTGAACCGCTATTTGTCTGATCCGTCGCCTAGGACCTGTTTGCCTTGGGAGACCCTACCAGGGGCGTTAAGCCCCCGACAACATAGCTCCTAGGTTCATTTGGATACTCAAACCCCTCCACCACGTTAAGGTTGCGATTCAAGGAGAGGGAGAATGATTGTATTTTCACAAAATTGTGTTGATAAATGCATGTGAATGTGATCAACAGATATACAAACCACTAAACTATGCTGCTGTATGGGGTTTCACTGTGTCGGTGGAAGTGGGTGTTAATGGCCTGAAGTCATGTGTGTGTGGTGTTAAGTGTGTGGTGTTAAGGAAGTGGAGTGAAACTGCAAGATTCTGTGTGTGTGTGTGTGTGTGTGTGTAAATTCTTTGATCACTCAGATCAGTGAGCCCGTTCAAAGGAAGACTGCAGCATTTTTCTCTTTTTATGCACACTGGAAGAAAAAGTGAAAAGTGAAGCCTGTGTCCATTCACGTGGTCTCTGAGGGACCACACTGTCGCCCTGCCACAGGATCCATGTCACTCAAACAGGCAGAGCTGCTTTCACTCTTCTATTAGCATCCGTGCTCAGAGTTCACGACCTGTGCAGCATCAGGAATCCAACACAGAAATAGAACAGTGTCTTCCAAACCCACGGCCAGGGTTGGTTGGCAGTGGTTGGTTTTGACAACACACACATTCCTCCAGGATGAATAATGTACCAAACTTTTTTTTTCTCATCCTTGGTGGCTGACTTATTCATCTATCTGCCCTCACATGTGTTGGCCTGTGGGAGTTCACCCTGGGCTCATACAGGAGTTTCTACTTTGACTATCAGATGGAGCTCCATCCACCAATCACTGTCTGTTGAACAGATCGAGTTCATTCTCTGATTTCATCTGTATCCTGGCAGGAGGCTGAAACAATCAAGAAGCAGTGTTCAAGTATTATCATAAAACAACAGACATTGTTGTCCAAATAAAAGGGCGCTTCGATGATGTCCAACATCAAACAACATCATAGGACAGTCCTCCCAACACTTTTCAGCTCGTGACCCCATTTTGACATCACAAATTTCTGGTGACCCTAAAGACTTTTTGTTTCTAGAATTAGTTTCTGTTCATGTTTGTTCTAATGTGCTGCAAATACAGAGTAGATAAGAGACAATGTCCACACAGATCACCACTGTCTCCTACTCTGTCTTTAATGTCCACACAGACCACCACTGTCTCCTGCTCTGTCTTTAATGTCCACACAGACCACCACTGTCTCCTGCTCTGTCTTTAATGTCCACACAGACCACCACTGTCTCCTGCTCTGTCTTTAATGTCCACACAGACCACCACTGTCTCCTGCTGCGTCTCTGCGTGGACCTCTTTTCGAGCAGGAACATTTTCACCACCTGCTCCACTGTCAACAAATGAGGTAAGCCAGAAGCTAACGCTGAACTCAGTGCTGCCCCCGGTGGACGTATTAGATAACACAATCATGCCAACCATAAGGCATGGTTGTGAGTATGTGGCTGTGGAAACAGGACAAATGAGGCTCCAGGGAGCTAAACAGAAAAGTTTTTGCATGAATATGTGTAGCTTGTTGATGGCGAATGCAGAGGGTGAAGTAAGATGATGTCAATAATTAATAAGTACGTGTGGCCCAGTTCAGACTGATGGCCACGTTGGGAGGTGGGACTGTCCTTATGATGAGGTCAAAGACATGAGACCTAAATTGGATAAACCAAATCTGATAAGGTGGCTTTGAGCTCCATGACCACAGTCTGTT